AGGTACACTGGCCAGGTCCCTCATTGGCTCTTCCAGGATCTCACCTGACCTTCCTCCTGGTCCTGCCTCCACCGTCCGGAAGCCACGGAGGCAGGGAGGCCAGTAACAGTCGTGAGGGTAGGTGGAAGGGGAATCAGGTGATGGAATGTGTCTTGAGGGCACAAGTAAGGAGCAGAAAGGCAGGTTCTTATAATCTGTCAGTCCTGAGAAACCTGAAAGGTAACAATGAAAACTGAAGCATCGCATTACAAACCAAAAAAAGGAGCTCTTCTTTTCTGGACCTGGCAGGTGATTTGGTGGAAGCAGGACACTGGGGTAGCCAGTTTTTTGGGCAGAATTTGTCCTGTACTTAGTTGGGACCCATTATTTAAAACAGTTTGCTTAAGCTTATAGAAGGTAGAAATCTATTTCTATTTCTCTCAGGCATTAGCTGTCAAAGTTGACCTTGGCTTAAACAACAGTTTCCCCAGGGTTAATAAAAACTTACATTTAAATAGGCTTTACCATTTATTCTCCACTACCCCTCATCTCCTAGTTCCCATTTGACATTAAGCTCCAACATACTCCTGCCCATTTTGTATATAGCACTTGACAAAGCCAAGGTGTTGGGACTGTTTAGCCTCTGGGAATGTGAGTGATAAATATTTTTCTCTTTTTACTTGCAAGGAAGTGGATTGCCTATGTTACTCTGAATCCTTGGAAAGTTTAGAATTAGGTGGGTCAGTGGTCACTGGGCCTCTTCTGGGGCTGCCCTGAAGGTCTCTGAAGACCCCTTTCTTTTGAAATTCATGAGATCGTTGGTCCATGGGGTGTGCCGAATTATCCATATCGTTTGATTTTTCTCATTGGTTGTAGCACTAGGCTTTCAAACTTCTATCTTATTTTTGTTCCTCTGCATAGTCGTGTTAAATCGAACATTATGTTTGACAAAGGATTATTTTAAACATTTCTCTCTTTGAGCCACTACTTTGCAAAGTCTGCACTGGTATCGCATCTACTGCGACAAGATGACAATAGCTTGTTTTTTAAATAAAAATTCTCTTCTCTCTTCCATTAGTGTATGTGCAGTCAAATGAACTTTTTAAAGTAAATTGGGTATTTGTAGATTTGGAAGCTGGGTTAGCAGTTTTCAGGCAGCGACTTCAAGACTATTTCAGGGCTCTTTGTTGGATTTTTAGGGCTGCTTAGGTTTACCTCTCATTTAAAGTAGTACTGTCTTTTTTTTTTTGTAAGAGAAGTGACCTTCACTTAAAATTTATTTGTGTAAAATCGGCTTTAACTGGTGTGGTCTTAATACTAAGTTTGACTGACTTTGCGATATGAGTGGTTCTACAATACATGAATATTGGTAGGAAAAGTTAGCAACTGTGGATTTGATTTGAATCATTGCATTTGATGGGAACATTTTTGGGTGTAATTTTATCATCACTATTATTTAAAATTTGTTTCTTGCTCTGGAAGGGTCACTTGGTTGTTTGCAGTGTTGGCCCATGCACCAAAGGCTTGGGGGTTCATTGGGTCCCTGGTGAGGGCTCCTGCGGGAGGCAGGGCAGCCAAACAACGTTTCTCTCACCTTGATGTTTCTCTGTTTCCCTCCTTCCCCACTCTTTAAAATCAGTAAGCATATCCATGGGTGAGGATTGAAAATATTAAATCTATTTCTTCAAGGTCCTTAATAAATATAATTTGTAACGATGTGTGACATTCCTAATGATTGCTGAAAAATCAGGACAAGAATTTTAGCACACGTCTCAGTTTATATTTAGAAGCAGGCAGTCTGCAGTTACTCAACAAATATGTGCTAGCTACTCTTTGGAGAGGAAAGAGAAATTGAACACTTTCTATAATCAGCTTACTCTATGAAACCAGATGGGGGCATTTTCGTTTAGCTTTAGGTCTGATGACATCCAAGATGATAATATTTAGTTACTTAGCATCTGTTAATCTAGAATCCTAAGGATTGACAGATATTATTTCTTTCCTCCATTTTAGCAGTGTGAAAAATCATGTTGGAGACAGAAGGGAAGAAAGAAAACAGGCAGAATTCATATGAAGGTTCACAGTAGCATTAGAAATTGCTCCTTTTAGAACATAATTTTGACTCTAGATGCTGGTATTTACTGTTATGTGTAAACAAGAGGATAACCTTTATTACTTCTTTGGATAGTTTTGATGATTTACTTCTTTTAGGGAATTTGAGGAAAAAAATAACTTGTCAAATGTATTGAATACTTTTTCCTAAAATCTGACATCTACTTTAAGTTCACTTCTTCTTCCCCCTGGTCAGCACACACATTTCAGTGTATTATTTTTGAAAAATTAAAACAAGTAATTTCTGCTACTTGTCTCACAAAATTAAAGGAAAATAGGCACCTTAAAATTTGAAGGGAGGGATCAGGGCTCCCTAAAACTGAGCAGACTGTATACATGTGGGAAAGCTTTTCCACTTGTCAGAGACGGGTGCCAAGTGAGTATTTTTGGCAGAAAGGAAAGTTTGCTGCCACATATGTTAGGGAGTTGTCGTTTTAGAATAGGAGGCATTTTCTCCTTTAAAAATTTATCTTGGGCACATATGTCAGGAGCTATTTTTATCTTTAACTAAGGAATTAAAAATTAAATAAATTCTTCATTAGATATAGTATGACGTATTTATTTCCATAATCTGTGAATTTTGTTTTTAGAATCCATAAGGAATGAGAATAATAAATATAGGATAGAATGAAGGTCCTACAGTGTAGCTTCTGCTAGGATCAAAATTAAGCCCATATACTCAGCGATATCTATGAATATAAAGATTGAAATTTCCAAGTAAAATTACCTAATGATAGTCTAAGAGTTTTTTTCTCCTTGATATAACTACATATTCAAGTAATATGAAAGTGATTATCATGTTTTCTTGAAGAAACACATAGAAGAAAGATCTTTCAGAGTAGTAAAATTATATTGTGATTTATGTAATTATTTTGGTAATTTCTCACATTAGGTGGGCATGCAACTTTTTACTCCAGTTAATACTTTGTAGCATTGGTTATTTTTTATAATTTTTATTGTGATGAAGAAACATAACATAAAATTTATAATGTTAATTATTGTACGTGTACTGTTAAAATATTCACATTGCTGTGAAAAGACCTGTAGAACTTTTAGATCTTGTAAATCTGAGACTCTGTATCCATCAAACGACAACTCTTCTTTCCCGCGTCCCCGAGGCCCTGGCATCACCCTTCTACTTTCTTTTCCTATGGATTGTAATACTTCAGGCACCTCGTATAAATGGAAGGCTATATTATTTGTCTTTTTGCGACTGTTTTATTTCACTTAATTTAATGTCCTAATGGTTCACCCAATTGTAGCATATGACAGGATTTCCTTCCTTTTTAAAGCTGGATAATATTCCATTGTGTATTTATACCACATTTTGCTGTCCATTCATCTGTTGATGGACATTTGGGTTGCTGCCACCTCTTTGCTATTGAGAATAGTGGGCTATGAAAACAGGTGTACAGGTCTCTCTCCGAGACCTTGCTTTCTATTCTTTTGGATGTATATACCCAGAAGTGTGATTACTAGATGATGTGGTAGTTTATTTTTAATTGTTTGGGAAATTTTCATACTATTTTTTACAGTGGCTGTACCACTTTACCACCCCATCAGCAGTGCTCAGAGGTTCCAATTTCTCTTTGCTCTCATCACCACTTGTGATTGATTGATTGATTGATTGTAGCCGTCCTGATGGATGTGAGGTGATATCTCATTGTGGATTTCTCTGATGATTAGGAATTTTAAGTATGTTTCCATGTGCCTTTTAGCTGTTTGTATATCTTTGGAGAAATGTCTACTCAAGTTCTTTTCTCATTTTTAAATCTGGTTATATGATTTTTTTTGGTTGAGTTGTTGGGTTTTTTATATATTCTAAATATTAACCCCTTATCAAATACATAACTTTCTCCCACTCCATAGGTTGTCCTTTCTCTCTATTGATTGTGTCCTTTGACCAACAAAAAAATTGTTTCTATTTTTTATTTTGTTACTTATGTAGCATTGATTAGTTAACAGTTAAAAAATGTTTCTACAGACTTGTTTCAAGTTGCTGTTTATTCTTTTTCTCTTGTGGTTCTTGAAAGTCCAGAAGACTATTTTTGAGACTATGTAATTATAATAAATAGTGTAATTTTGAACAAATTAATTTTGATTGACTTTTATGGTTTTGGAAGAGCCACCTTTTAATATGTTTTCTATAGAATTTTGATGTTATAATTTAACTATACATTAATAGGGATTGCTTTAAACCTATCCATCAATTTTGAGAGAATTAACATCTTTATAATGTTGACTCATTCAGTCTGTGAACATGGTGTGTTTCTGCAGGTATTTAGGTCTTCCTTGATTTCTTTTATCATCATTTTATAATTTTCATTATACATACCCTGTATTTCATTTTCTTTGGAACCACTGTAAATGATATTGCATTTTAAATTTCTGTTTCCATTTCTTTGTTGGCATTATGTAGAAGGGCAGTTCATTTTTGTGTGCTGATGTATCCTGAAGCCTCATGGAAGCCACATTTTACATCAGAGATTGTAGATCCTTTTTTTTTTACATAGACAATAATGAGGGTGTTTTAATAGACAATAATATCATCTGCAAACTGAGACAATTATATTTCTTTCTTTCCCATGCATTTGCCTTTCATTTTCAGCTTGAACTTCTAATATTGTGCCAAATAAGAATGGTGAGAGTGGACATCTTGCCTTGTTTCCAATATTAGAAGAAAATTATTCAGTGTTTTACTGTTAACTATAATGCTAGCTACAGGTTTTTTGTAGATGTTCTTTGTTAGGTTGAGGAGTTCCCCCTCTCTTCCTAGTATACTAAGACTTTTTATCCTGAACGGATGGTTACTTACATCAAAATGCTTTTTATGCAGCAATTGATATGGACATATGATTTAAAATAATTTTTTCATTCTCACCTGAGGACTTTTTTTTCATTGCTTTTAGGAAAAGAAGAGAGAGAGAGAGAAACATCAGTTTGACAGAGAAACATCCATTGGTTGCCTCTCATTGGCTACTTGACTGGGGATCAAACCTGCAACCCAGGTATGTGTCCTGACTGGGAGGGAATCAAACCCACGATCCTTTGATACCTGGGTCGAAGCTCCAGCCAACTGAGCCACACTGGCCAGGGCTAGGCTATACATACAATTTTTTTGTCAGACTGTTGTGCATTTATTAATTTTCAAATAGTGAATCAACCTTGTACACATGGAATAAATCCTATCTGATCATATATATACCTATGTATAATATTTGTGACACACATGTACATGCATACACATACATTGTTGCATTCAATTTGTGAAAATCTTGTTAAAGATTTTTGCTTTTACATTCATGAGAGATTGATTTTTAGTTTCCTTTTTTGTTGTGCTTTTTAAATTTGTTTTCAATTGCTAGAATACTACTGCTTTTGTGTAGTTCCAAGAAACTACCACTCATTGAGTTTGGGTGTTGTATCAAATTCAAATATTCGTAGTTACCTGAGAAGTCTATTAAAATACTCCTTTTTCCAACTATATATCTCTCTGTGAGGCCAAATTTTCTAATGTACTTTGACCAAAAGTAATTGACCAAAGTTACTTTTTGACTAAAAGTAATTTATTAGAATGAATGCAGAAGCAGTTATAGGAGTCTTTTTATAGGAGATATTAAAGAAATTAGATAAAAGTATAAAATAATGCCACTCATTCCTTTGTAAAGTTATATTTTAATAAGGTATGTTTTTGTTAACATATAATATGTTTATGATTGTTACATTAAAGTGAATGAAGAAGGATCTTAAACATGTATTAGTTTTAGTTTCTAGTAGGGTAAATATTGATATGTATAACCCACAAAAACAAAACAACAAAATTTAAAAATCAGAAAAGGCTTCAACACTAAAAAGTTTGAGAATCACTACTAAGACAACCAAGCGAGAAGAGTGAAGCCAGAGGCAGGGGCATGTGCATCTCGCACTTGGCATTGGTTTAGCCAGTTGTTCTGCGTGCTCATCTTCCTTTCTCCACTTACCTTTCATTTCCCCGAAGTTCTTCCTCCTTTTATGTACTCACTGATATGTACTTTCAACTCAGTGAAATAGACCGGTAGGACTTTGCAGTGTAATCTTCACCAAATGAAATCCCTCAAATCATTCCCATTCCAACTTTAACAAATACCATATGTGGACATGTAAGTATACTTTAAATTATAAATTATAACAAATGGAATAAAGTATTAACTCAGTGATGTCTTTTGCAAGGGTGAAGTAATTCAGAATATTTTATTAAGGTTTGACTCTAAGATAGTGTAAGAGATATTTGAATTACTGCCCTTTGATTTCGATTATTGTAAATGGGATTTTTTTGTACTTTTCCTCAGTGCTTTATTGAGATATAATTTATATATAGTAAATATACAGCTTGGTGAGTTTTTAGAAGATTTTGGTAAGTGGTCTTGCAGGTAAGTAGATTGTAATAGTACAAACATGCAAAATGAAATGAAAAAGAATCTGAGAATATCAGTAAGAACAAAAATAAGATGAAGTGAGCTAGAGAATCCATTGATATTAGCTAGCAAAATCTATATTCTGAAATTATGTGTGATTATTAGAGCTAGTCCCACATTTAGTACTGAGTTTTCTATCTTCTGGGCTGGGCAAAGAGGGAAATGCAAGAAGTTGAATGATTAGTGGAAAAGCTCATTCATGAGAAAAGCAAACCAATTGCATAAGGGGAACAAAGTTATTTCTGTACAGAATTAAAAGTGAAATTTCTGCTATAGTTTCTTTTCAAGTGGATTTCTTATAGGGTAATGTAAAATGTCCTCAACATTGTTACAGTGAAATTCAACAGGATTCGCTAGGATGTTTCCAATAATGCCCTTCAATATAGGCTCCTGGCATGGCTCTGTTTCTTGAGAAATAGCCTCTCATGATCTGATTATTTTCTTTTCTAACATGAAAACAGTATTTGCCTTGAGAACACTGAAATGTAGATAAAGATCACTGTGTATGCTCAGTGAGTAACTGTTTTTCTTCCTGAAGTGGTTCTGCTAGGGCACCTGTGGCTGGCAATGTGGTGTGAGCCTGGTGTGTAGCTCTCTGATGACCTGGTTTAATCCACGAGGAGATGTTACAGTGTTTCAAAGAAGGAAGGTGATACATATCTTTTAGGAATTTCTTTGTACATATTATTTTTATAGCCTATGATTTTGAGGGGCAATACCTTTGAGGTTTTATTTCCTCAAAATAAAGCAGGTTTCCTTTCTATTTTTCGTGCCCACAAGAAAAAGAAGGGCCCAGATATTTTCTGTCCAAACTAATTCAGTGCCTTGGTCTTGGTCTTAGGTTTGGAGTCAGTCAGGTACTTTCAATATGTGCTGAAATAATGAGTAAGTTAGAGTCAAGTTTATATCATAGCCCTCATATCTGTTATGAAATTATATGTAGTTAATAACATAGCTAAATATCTATATGATAATATATCTAAATATCTTTCATATCAGAAATGTCTGTTTTCATCACTCTTAGAGTTTCCAGGTTTAAATATATGCTCACTTATTTACAATATACACAATTAATATAATATTATTACATAATTATTAGTTAATAATTAGTCACATATTATACTGTTATAATAATAATATAATAAAATATAATTCATGTTTACATCTTCTCCAAATAACAAAATACCTTCTGTTTTAATCCAATGCCTTCTGGTATAATTCTGAGTTAAACTGATTCTTTAAAAATGAGTTATGAGTTACAAAAATCAGTTATAAATCTATTTAAATATTTAAACATTAGATTTTTGCTACCAGTTTATAGTTGCTTTCATAGTTGAGGTTAGTCGTTTCTAATAGGAAAACAAGGTGAATGTTTGATTTTTGGCAAAGAGCGTTTCATCTCAGTAATATGTAAGATCTCCAGTATGCCATTCTAGAGGGTGAGTCAGAGTGGTATAGTCTTTCTCGGTTGAGTTTTGCATAGGATTCTGGTGTAGGGTCTCTTTGTTAGGCCATGTCCTCTAATTTGTGGGTTCTTGTTTGTGAGGAGCCAGCTAAGTAGACTGGGAAGATGAGAAAGAGAAGCTTCTCTGGTTCCCATAGTCCGCTGGGCATATTTGTAACCTGATCTCCCTTTCTGACTAGTGTCTGCATCATTTTTTATCCCAATGGTCCACTTAAGCAGCTGCCTCAAATTCCATAGTAGACGATGGGTTATTACTTTAAATCTGTGATTTTTAGTTATGTACTTGGTAGGTAAGAGAAATGTTATATAAAATCAAATTATCTAAAATGAGAAAAATAGGAAATTCATTGTTTGGTTATAGGCTACCTAAAGGAAATTATATTCAGTGTACAAAGTAAATATTTAGCATAGTATAGGTGAAAGAGTCATATAAATCTTAATAGAAGTAAATGAATAAGGAACACATTGCTATAAAGATGCCTAAATTGTCCATTTTGGGGACCACAGTGAGTAAGGCTTTGCAAAGTATTGGTTGTTCCCTCCCCCACCAGCCGTTTTCCTGGCCTAAAAGAACTAAATGTAGTGACCGTGAGTTTTGCCCACTTCCAGTCCTCTGTCTGTGCTTGAGGAGGAAAAACTTGGCTTACGACCAATTCTTTACCCTCTTTGGCCATCGTCAGAACTGTAGATGCTGCAGTCTGTTCTTCCCTGTGATGAATCAGCGATGCCGTCTGCCAATGTGTTCTGGCCACGGTTGGCTGTGGGCTCTGCTCTGCCCGGTGGCCTTGCCTGTGGTGTTAAGTGAAACTGCACAAATTGGAAGGTCATAAAGTCATTTGATTGAAAAATAAAAAAATGGTATGCGATTTTTTTTTCACATTTTAAGGTTGTATAAATTTGTGATCAGGGATATTGAAGATTATCTTTGCAGAAAGACTGGCAAAGACATGGATTCTCGAAATAGATTTTTTATGGAGCATGATCTCCAGAATGCTTCTAATTTTAATTCTCATTTCTATCCTATTACAATTTAAAATTGTTTTCTTCTAATGGTAAATAATATTAGTTTTATTTTAAATTATGTAGTTTCCATACTAACTGGTACTTTATATAGTGAATGTGTCAAATGTTTTAATTTTTCTGATCACTATGATAATACTGGACTTTTGTCTGATCAGGGACATAAGATATTAAAACCATGTATTTGTTTATATTTTATATATACATATATAATATATGTTTTAAAAGACTTAATAATCAATTAGTTCCAATATTTCCATAAACATGTTAGAAAAATATTATAAAATGCCTTTCTTTAGATGAATGTAGATGATAAAAAGAGTTGGATGGTTTAAAGATCAAGAGGATAGTTATTTTGTTTCCTTTTGATTTCTGTTTTAGTAAAAATGTTTTTTTTTTTGCATTACTATTCATAAAATGGAAACAAACTCAAACTTATTTACTGTATTTTACTTGGTACGTGTTCAATAATTAAGTTGAGTTAAAAGCAGGTGTGAAAATAGGAATTAGAATAGTTCATTTAATCTTAAAACAGATAAGAGAATTGGCTGCTATCAACAAGGTCAGCTATACTAATAGAGCTACTTTTTTTCCAGTTTAATTCTGGGCTTTATTCAGTGGCGTTTTTAAAAAATTCATTTACCATAGAGCTAGTTTTAAAGTTGGTCTTCCTTCTTCTTTGATGTAATCTGTGGCAGAGCATAGTATCATCTACACTAGGTATGGATAAGCCAGATATTAAAATAATTCTACTGGTAATTTGGGATTATCCAGAAAAATGGAAGATACAGTTCATTCTTAATTTATAATTTGTATCACCAAAATTTCATGAGTAAAATAATGGAGAGATGCTGTATCCATTAAACAAAATAAGCTCCACTATGTACCAGGCTCTGTGTTATGTTCCTTTTACTCAGAGAGCCGCCGCCCTTTCTGATAATGAACTGTAAAGCAAGTGCTCTAAAAATGTGATACAATGTGATAGGTGTTGGTAACAGTGGTGATGCTCTGAAGGACAGTTACCTCTGCCTGGGAGGCAGAAGGAGGGGGGGATAACTAAGCTGTGCTT